TTTTTTTTTTTTTTTATTAACACTTTGCATTGCACAAAGCCATACTAGAAGTAATTCAAGTAATAATTCACATGTTTTCACAGGTTTCTATCTTGGGCTCAATAAAGAGCAAATATTGTGATTAAAATCTATCATTATCTTATAACCATCTGTTAAGATCTGCAGAATTAATAAAACTATAGACTGGAGAAGCAATCTCACAGTAGGAACATAATTAATGTGTAATTACAGACATAGAATGCTGTAAAGGGCAAAAGAATCTGGATAGAAAAATAAATACCTGCTGTTATTCATATGACATCACTGTGGCAGATTTGAATACTGCAAAAAAATCAATGTAAATATAGCACTTAAGAAAAAAAGCAATGCTAAATATAATAACTGTTCCCTTCTTACTTTTACTGGCTTTAAAAATAACAGACAATAACAAGCAGAGAATTTCAGTGATGGGCTCACTACCGTCTGTACACTACAGTCATGCAGTGTAGAAAATAAAAGATAATTTTTGCATTTGCAAAATTTGTGCCAATACAACCCACATTCTGTAGCTAAGCTCTTAAAACCACCTGACCCCCATATGCACAAATACACAGTTTTCCACCTTGGAGGTAAAGGCTTTCAGAAGGTTGCCACAAATACCCATGTGTTCTTTCACAATATAATTTGCCTATTAGCAGTGGTACCTATTAAATCCACCACAACCTTTTACAATGATCAAAGAACTTTTTTTGTTGTTATTCTTTTATGTATATATGTACATATTTCAGCTACAACTCAGTAAACAAGATGGCAGACCCAAGTAATCAGAAAACTTAGCTCACTTGCAAATTCCCCAAAGGACTAAATAAAAGGCTTTTGGGGTTGCATACTTCCATAGAGCAGAGTTCAGCAGCTGCCCAGTCCATAGCACAGACCAATTGCTTTTTGCAGTCTCCCGCTGCTGCACATTACTATGCAGAAGAATTTACGTATACTCAGTAATATTTAATATACTAAAGAGGCATTACCAGGAACATGTGTCTTAGGAAAAGTAAAATAGGATATAGCTAATAACACACAGTGCATTTACACTGCATAAGGTGACTTCATACATCACTGCTAAAAAGCTGATTATTTTAAGGGGGTCTCGAATGCAAGTAAAGAATTTAGTTATCTGTTAACCAGACCTACAGTTAAACCTGTTTGCAAACAAAACTAGGCAGTACCACATGGAAATTAAGCCTGACCTGTCCCACTGAGGAGCCAATATGCAACCAAAGTTTCCACCATACAAAAAGATAACATACACGGGGAAAGTTACAATAATTTAAAATAAGTCTTGGAGCAGCGCCAGCGTTTCTAAAGGCGCACAGGGGCGCGGAGCAAGCGGCAGGCGCGTTGGGAGCAGCTCGGCGGGGCGGGCTGCGAGCCCGGCGCCCAGCAGGAGCCGCCGCCCCGGGCTCCGCCGCCGGCTGCGGGGCGCTCGGGGAGACCCGTCGCGGCGCCGCGCTCGCGGGAACAGCGGCCTGGAGCTCAGGAGGTCGCAGGGGACCCCGAGAGACACACCGAGAGCTGGGGGACACCGCCACCCGGGGGAGCAGCCCCCGGGCCCGCAGCCCTCGCCGGGCTCTCGCGGCGCCGTGCGGACCGAGGGCCGGCCGGAGGCACCGCCGCCAGCGGCGCCGCGGCCCCAGGGAGCGGCCGCTCYACGCGGGACGTTCCCTCTCCCAAGGAGGGGCGCTCCCCCAGGGAACCTTCTCGAAGCGGCCGTTGGCCTTGGCCGTTGACCACCCTCAGCCAACCGCCGCCGGGCGCGCGCTCCCCGGCCGAGGCACCGCCCCGCGGGGCGCGGGCAGCGCTCCCAAGAGCCGCAGGGAGCCGGGCCGGGAAGAGCGGCCCGCGCGCAGGAATCCCGCCGCCCCCGCCCGCCTTCCCAGCCGCTATCCCGGCTTTAATCATCGCCTTATATGGACTCCAGAATGTCTGACGTCATCGCAGCGCTGGGAAACCAGCGCCCGCGCAACCGAGCTTAGCTGGGAAGGCGGGTGGGGCGGGAAGGGAGAGGGCGGGGGGAAGCGCTGGAATGTTGACGGACGCGGCGCGGAGCCAGTGGGAGCGGTGGGCGCGGCGCTGCCATTGGACGCGGGAGGCCGGGAGGGCGGGCGCGGCGGGCGGGCGGGCTAGGCTGCCCCGCTGAAAAGCCGCCGCTTGGGGGCCGAGGGCTCCTAGTACGGTGCGCGCTGCGGGTGCTGCGAGAGAAGCCCCGAGTTCGAGTCCCCCGTCCGCCAGCCTTCTTGGGGGCGGCTGCTGCGGGACGGCGGTGGGGACGTCGCGCTTCTTTGCCGTTCTCCTTCCCGCCGTTTCCGCCGCGGAGGCCGCGGCTCGCTCGGCGGGGCGCCCGCCCGCCCGGACAGAGTTGCCCAGGAGTTTGTGCGGACTTGGCGCCGCGGCGCCCGCCCCGCCGCCGCCATGCCCGTCTTCCACACGCGCACCATCGAGAGCATCCTGGAGCCCGTGGCCCAGCAGATCTCGCACCTGGTCATCATGCACGAGGAGGGCGAGGTGGACGGCAAGGCCATCCCGGACCTCACCGCGCCCGTGTCGGCCGTGCAGGCCGCTGTCAGCAACCTGGTGCGGGTGAGTGTCCTGCGGCGCCAACTTCCCGCGCCGCCGCCAAGTTGGCCGCTCCGCGCGCGGGCCTCGTGCGGCGGCCGGCACCGCGCCGCGTCCCGTGCGGAGCCTCCCGGCGCCTCCGCGGGCCCTGCGTGCCTGGGAAGCTCCTGCGCTCGGTGTGGCCGCCCAGGGCTTCGCTCGCCCGGCCTCCCCACAGCGGGAGCGGGGCAGGCTCTGCGTGCGGGGGCTGGAGCTGTGGGGCTGTGCGTGGGGAACTCTCCTTGCGGGAGCCAAGGAAGGCAGAGACCCAGCGGGAAGCTCCCGGCTTCTTGGAGAGAGCTGTGCATAGCGGGAACCTTCAGGCTCGTAGCTCCTGGGGCGTTTCAGGGTGAGGAGCGCAGGCAGTTGATGTGTGGAGTGCCTGGCGCCTATCAGTGCCCCTGCACACATCTCCATTTCAAGCTGGCCGCTCTTCTGGGGCAGTTGTGTTGGCTTTGGTGCGGCACGCTCTGAAATACTGCGAGCTGCTCTGGGTAACGGCTAGGGAAATGGGGACTTGCCCTGCACATCTGCTGGGCTCGCTTGCAGACACTCGGAATGCATCTTCTAATATCAGATGTTACTTACTAGCTATGAGCCCTATAAAATTCTGAAGTTGTTTATGGAAAGCAGAGTCGCTTGCCAACATATTTGAACTTGGAATGGAGCAGGACAGTGTTGCTCCTTTCCCTTAGCTCTGCTGTTGCGTACACATAAAGATATTGTGTCATCGTTAGCTGACACATGTATTAATGATGCAGGAAATACGGCATCCTTTTGAAATGCAAGTCATGCTGAACATATAATAATCCTCAGAAGAGGAATTGTGAGTAAAAAAGGATGTTGAGATGCCCCTTTTAAGTAAGATGTGTTCATTAGATGTAGTCCTGCAGTACTCTTTATTGCAGTAAAAYGCACTCACTTTGAGCGCTGCAGTCTGTTGCAGTGTGACTATAACTTGAACTCCTTTTGATTCYGTGAATGGTGCAGAACGTGTTATCYGACAAACCTGTGCTCTGGCCGGCTCTAGCCAAAACTTTGGAGCTTTGAGGAGAACAGTCTGTCTCCAGCSGTGAACTGATGCAATAAGTATATTGGTTGTAAGGGTATGAAGCCTGAGTGTATGAAATACATTTCCTTGAAAGGAAGACATTGCAGTAAAGCTTTGCCTCTCCAAGCTTAGTTTGTATCCCTGGATTATGGGAGGGTTTCCCCTCCCAATCTCTCAAAATAAACCTCAGCTGATAACACTGTGTTTATTGGAGAACTGCAGAAATGGCATTAGTTTTTTCCTGCAGTTGCTGGTGCCAGCTCTTTTTCTATTTAGGTCTGTGGATTTTGGAAGCCTCAGGTTTTCTTTTAAAAGCCATTACCTAGATAAAAGGTAAGACTGCATTATTTTTCTGCGTAAATTCACAAGAGTAAAGAGAGGGGGGTATAATCCAAGGGTATGCTTAGAGTCCCTTGGAAGAAAACATCTTTGACTATACCAGGGAAAAATACAGGAATAAAGTTCTGTCTGGCAGTTGTATTTTCAGTTCATCATTTCCGAGCTGGTGCGGGTATCAGTTCATCATTTCTGGGCTGGTGCGGGTATCACTGCGTGCATGTGAAGGTGGCTCTGAACGGCACTGGGGTGCGGTGAGTTCAGCTTGGTGGTAGCAAGGGGCCATGTGTAGCACCAACGTCCTTCCTATCTGGAATAGGGACTACAAAGTTTGGAAGGCGCAGCGTGTAATTCGTATAATTTGTTCTGCAGCTGCAGTAGCTGAGGAGCTGAGATGCCTTCTGCAGAAGGCCCAGGAAGGATGCCAAGTTGAGAAATGGTCTAGTAAATGTAAAAAATCCCTCTGCTTCTGCATCACAGTCAAGGAAGGGGGAATAATTTGGAGCTTGACCAAGACGCTGTCTTATTTTACCTTTTAAAAACTGTTTTTGCTTACTAGATTACATTATGGCCTTTGACTTTCTGGCATAACTAGCTCTGATGCTTTTTTCTGTTGCTTCTCTGATGCCAGCTTCTTGGAGGCTGGGGTGTTGGACCAGATCATCCTTCTGAAAGGCATCAGCTGCTGCTTTTATGAGAGCAAATGCTTGACTGTTGCCTGGTGTTTCTGTCCTTCATCCTTGATTGAGTTTGAGTCATCTAAGGAAAGTGATGCTCATTTCAAGTGCTTGTACTGAAAAATTGGTCAGGTGTTCACCATGATTAAGTGTTAAAAGTTTTTCACAATAGTCATGTGTGCTGAAAAGCCAGCATGTCTTCTGCTGCTGCTTCTACCTCTCCATTATCTATGCTGTCCCTTTGCTTTTAAATCTATGCATTTCACAAGTCTCTGCATGCATCCTGTTTCTGTTGCTTGAGTTCTTATAGGGAAGTACTGCTTTGTTCTCTAATAAGTAGTTAACTATCACCTTCTGTGGAACATATTCTTGATAGGTATTAGGATACAGCTTTATTCCTCTATTGAGATTTAGATGCTTATGGAGCTCTTGTGATAACTTTGTGCATCTTAAGGATGGACCACAGGTAGCCTGTCAGGCTGATTGCCAGTAATGGTTATGAATACCCTGCCTGACAGCCGTGATTATCAGATCTATTCTCTAATCCTGCAGAGCAAAGGACTGCTCRTCTAACCAAGAGATGAAACCCTATTCAAGTATTTGAGCAGTAGTTGAACTGTTTGAACAGCTTAATGACATGATTGTTTCAGAGAAATAGCTTGTAATATTTGTTTTAAAGAGCGTCTTGGAGGAGGACAGAAGAGGGGGGGAAAAATGAATTAAGCCTTTTCTGTAGAGAATGTCCTACACAGCACAAAAGACTCTGCTCTCAGGAGGCTACAGAAATGTTCTGGATACTTTGCCTTGGTACTTGTAGCTTCTCGTTGGAGATAGCTAAATCTGTACCCYATCCTCATAGTTTGTACTGAAATATCTGCAAGGCAAAGGAAAGGGACTGCTAGAGCAGCAGGTCAGAGCTCTGCTGCAGGCCAAGAGTCCCTGTTACATGACAAGTGAGTTGGAGCACTGCAGGAGCCCCAAGGATCTAAAGACATCTCTCTGTTGCAGGTTTCAGTTTCTTGTGTGTAGTAGAAATACGTGATTACTGATAGAAAAGAGGTGAATTTCTTGCTTTGGGAGAGATTTGTTKTGTCTTGCCTTGTGTTTGCTTTGGTTCTTCTGTTTTAAAGACTTCCTTCCTCTATGAAACAGAACACTCTACTTTGATATGCCTGCAATTCCTTAATGATACTTCTGTATATGGTGGGAACAGCAGCCATCTGCTCTGAGAAAGCAGCTAAACCGAGTTAGAGTGTGTGTTGTGTGTGTTTAATGATTAATTAAACCAGAAAGAAAGCAACTTTGTAATAACAAAAGCACATTAGAAACTGGCTTCTTGCTTTTATCTGATAGGAATGAGCTTTAAATAAGTGATAAATCAGTTTCTGATTTGAATGGGTGATCTCTTTGCTCTGTTATTATGCTTGAAGACATAATTTATACCACTCTCTTCTGTTGGCTATAAAAGGAATCTTTTGTTCCCAGTTCCTTTAAGCGCCTGTGAAGATGGTTAGTGCCTCTGTTAGCAGCTCTGTGCAGCTTCCTTTGGGGCACAGAAACTGAGAGTATTATTCTGAAGTGGATAACCTTAAAGAACTTGGTTGGGCTTAAGTTCCATGTGCCGACAAGATGGTGTAAACTGGTCCTGCTGTGGGAAATCTGATGTTTGCTTTCTACAGTGTAAGGGAATCAGTCCAGAAGGAGAGGAGTTAAGTACATGGGGTGTGGGTGTGTGTGCATGTATTTTCTCTGACTTCATGGTTTCTGTAATCATGAGAGTGAAAAGTAAGTGCCGTGTAGCTTTCACAGTGCTTTGAGACAAGAGGATACTCTRATGCATTGATTGTGGTATGAAACTGCATCTACAGAATTCCCTTATAGAGCTTAATGAAGGAAGGCACTGAATCTGGTGTGGCAGTGTAGGTTTTATGCTTGGAAGTGGGTGGCTTCCACAGCATGCACAGGTGTCTTCCTCTTCCAATATGACTGTAAATTGGGTTAAYGAAGTGAGCCTGGAAGGACTGCGGCAGGGAATGGGGAAGCCAAGTGGTGGTTTTAAAGATGTGTTAGCAAACATGTGGTGTTAACACTCGTTGCTGGAAACGAAGCCGGAAATCCTTAACTGCTGGCAAACGTTGGGGGGTGTTTCTTGAGTTCCAGATCTGCAAGAATTGTTAAACACAAGCCAAAGTGCCTATTATTATTATTATTATTATTATTATTACTTTTTGTTTCAAAGGAAGGAATAGGTCAGCCATGGCTTTGATTTGGTGCTGCCTAGGCTATTGCTCGGTTTTGCTAGCGGCTTCACAGAGAAGACTTCTTTTTATTGCTATCTGCACAGCTTGTACACATTGTTCCTAAACCTTTCTCTCTGACCCACTGCTATGTACTGGATCGTGGTGGCTTTGTATTTTTCACCTCCAGTACGTAGACAAAGTATCTGCTGTCTAGYAGTATCCATTTTCTCCTGGGGCAGTTTCTCCCTGTGAAAAGAAAGACTGGCAAGCGAGACCTCGAAAGACTCCAACACTGCTGCAGAATGTCATTTTTTTTTCTAGTGACACAGAAATCCTATCCCATTATTATTTGCTCCATCAARTGTTGAGAAACAATTCATTCCCGTACAGAATTGCCTCTGCTGCCGCAGTCCTGAGTTCTAGGTAGATGATAACCTGTCTGTCATTTATAGTTGAAACACAGCAGCGGCAGTTCTTACTAGGGAGAAGTGTAAATACTGTTATAGGCAGTAATGCGTCTTCATAACTGCTGTGCATATATGTGTTGAATAAATTGTTATGTTCCATTGTATAATTTCTTCCTTAATTTTATATGACGCCAGGTAGGAGGGAAGTAGCATCTAGAACATCCCGGGGTTGGAGTCTGCTGTAGCAATTTGTGTTGTTTAATGGAAATGCACC